GCTACTGATTTTTTTTTGAGTTGAGTTTGCATCCTACTATGTTACTGAAGATGCTTATGAGTTGTAGGAGTTCCCTGGGTGAATTTTTGGGGTCATTTATGTATGCTATCATATATATCATCAGCAAATAGTGAGAGTTTGAGTTCTTATTTTTCGGTTTGTATCCCCTTAATCTCTTGTTGTTGGATTTATTGCTCTAACTAGAACTTCAGGTACTTTACTGAATAGATATGGAGAGAGTGGATAACCTTGTCTTGTTTCTGATTTCAGTGGAATCACTTTGAGTTTCTCTCCATTTAGTTTGATGTTGGCTGTTGGCTTGTTGTATATTCCTTTATTATGTTGAGGTATGTTCCTTATATCCTTGTTTTCTCCAAGACTTTTATTATGAAGGGGTGTTGAATTTCGTCAAAAGCTTTCTCAGCATCTAATGAAATGATCATGTGATTTTTATTCTTTTTAGTGTGTTTATATGGCGGATTACATTGATATATTTTTGTATGTTGAACCATCCCTGCATCTCTGGGATGAAGCGTACTTGTTCATGGTGGATGATTTTCCTGAGGTGTTCTTGGATTTGGTTTGCCAGTATTTTATTGAGTATTTTTGCATCAATATTCATGTGTGTGATTGGTCTGTAATTCTCTTTCTTAGTAGAGTCTTTGTATAATTTGGGTTTAAGGGTGATCATAGCCTCATAAAAAGAGTTTGGTAATGTTCCATCTGTTTCTATCATGTGAAACAATTTGTGGTGTATTGGTATTAGTTTTTCTTTGAAAATATTGTAAAATTCTACACTGAAGCCATCTTGGCCTTTTTTTGGTTGGGAGACTTTTGATGACTGTTTTTATTTCCTTGGCAGTTATAGGTCTATTTAATTTGCTTATCTGGTCTTGATTTAATTTTGGTAAGTCGTATTTATTCAGAAAATTGTCAATTTACTTAAGTTTTCCAATTTTGTGGAGTACAGGTTTTTGAAATATGGCCTGATGATTCTCTGGATTTTCTCCATGTCTGTTGTTATGGTCTCCCTTTTGTTTCTGATTTTGTTAATTTGGCTATTCTCTCTCTGTCTTTTGGTCCATTTGGATAAAGGTCTGCCTATTTTGTTGATTTTCTCGAAGAACCAACTCTTTGTCTCATTGATTCTTTGTATTGTTTTCTTTGTTTCTATTTTCTTGATTTCAGCTCTCAATTTGATTATTTCCCGTCGTCTAGTCCTCCTGGATGAGTTTGCTTCTTCTTGTTTTAGAGCTTTCAGGTGTTCTGTTAACTCGCTAATGTGATATGTTTTCAACTTCTTTATGTAAGTATTTAGTACTATGAACTTTCTTCTTAACACTGTTTTCATGGTGTCCCATATTTCTGGATATCTTGTGTGGTCATTCTTGTTGAACTTTAGGAAGTCTTTAGTTTCTTACTTTATTCTTTCTGACCCATTGGTGATTGAGGTGACCATTGTTAAATTTGCATGTGTTTGTGGGCTTTTTGCAATTCTCATTGGTGTTGAATTCTAACTTTAAGCCATGTGTTTGATAAGATACATGGGGTTATTCCATTTTATTTTAATTTGCTGAGATTTGTTTTGTACCAAGTATGTGGTCAGTTTTTGAGAAGTTTCCATGGGGTGTTAAAGAAGATATATTCTTTTATGTTTGGATGAAATGTTCTATAGATATCTGTTAAGTCCATTTGAGTCATAACATCTCTTAGTTCCCATATTTCTTTGTTAAGTTTCTGCCTGGCTGTCCTGTCCAGTGGTGAGAATGGGGCATTGAGGTCTCCCACTATTAGTGTATGGGGTTTAATGTGTGATTTAGACTTTTGTAGTGTTTCCTTTACATATGAAGGTGCCGTTGTATTTGGGGCATAGATGTTCAGAATTAAGATTTCCCCTTAATGGATTTTTCCTGAGACAGTTATGAAATGTCCTTCCTTGTCTCTTTTGATTGATTTCAGTTTAAAGTCTATTTTGTTGGATAGTAGAATAGCTACACCAGCTTGTTTTTCAGGTCCATTTGATTGAAAGATCTTTTCCCAACCTTTGACTCTGACATGATGTCTGTCTTTGATGTTGAGGTGTGCTTTTTTGTATGCAGCAAAAGTACAGGTTCTGTTTTTGTATTCATTCTGTTAGCGTGTGTGTGTGTGTGTGTGTTTCTAATAGGTGAATTGAGTCTATTTATATTAAGGGATATTAATGAGTGAGTTTTGAAGTATTTTCTTTTGTTAATTGTGAATACAAGTTGATATGTTTTAAAGTACCAAGATGATCAATGAACTTCATTTACCTTCAGTGAGTCTCTAAGAACATTGTTTCTTTGGCCCAAATATTTGATAATTTGTGTGTGTGTGTGTGTGTGTATTCACAGAAGCCAGAAAAAATGCCTTGGACCTGAAGTTATAGGCAGTTGTGACTCTCCTAATATGGGTACTGAGAACTAAACATAGGTCTTCTATAAAAGTGGGAAGTGCTCTTAACCCTGAACCACCTCTCCAGGCCCACATTTGATAGGTTTGAATAGTCATGCTTTTGAGATTTTGTATCTGGCATACAGCACCAGTCCTGCTGGCTTAGGCTAGACAACTTTGAATAGATTAATGACCTAGCGAGCATTGATAATCATGATTAGAAGGCATGGCTCTGGATGGCAGTGTTGGGTGCCTGCATTTTCGGTTCTTCCTCTATTACCCCTTTCCCTGATTTATCTCCTCCCTCCCTCCCTCTTCATCTCCCCTCTCTCATTTCCATCTCTATCGATCTTCTAACTGTATGTTTGACCTATTTCAGCTTTCCTGTGTTCCTGCAAGCTGCAACTGTTTCTTGGCATTGGGGATTTCCAAGGAAAGTTTCTTTATGCTTGCCAAAACTTGCAGAGTGATATGTTTGTTTGATCATCATATTTAGAATCTCCTGGCACCTTATACATTCATAGAGGGTTTGGTGTTCTCCATTCATAAGCAGCAATTCTAGATTTTTATTTTGTATCTTTCACTTGCAACCTAAAGAGAAATAAACACCAAGGACTTTGCTGCACCATCACTTTATACAATTCTTCAGGAGTGGGTCCAGTTATTAGCCATTCTATGGCATAATTATTCACTGTAAAATTCTCCAGCTTCATGACAGGCGATATCAGCACTGTTTGAAATTTTAGCAGTTCTAGCAAACCATAAGTATATATAAATTTGGATCATTTGTGTCCTCATCTTAACTTGGAATAGATTTTCTTTTTTTATATCTAGCATAGTCAAATAAAAGAAAATCTTTAACTTACATTTTTCCTCTGCAGGGATTATTTTATTGACAGAAAAAATTCTTTGCTCCCCTTCTCTCACATTCTTGTTGCATTCTTTAACACATTTTATCTCCTACTTCTGCTTTTAGTGTTTTTTTCTTTTATCCTTTCCAATGTCAAAGCTAAAGAGACAGATGAAAAAGCATACCAGCATGTGTGAATGAAACCTGGAGGCTGAGGCTAGAGTCCATCCAGGGACTCTGTAATATCAGCAATATGGATTATGAAGCTTTCACTCCTCTCAGCGTAATGCCATATTGTCATTAGCGAGAACTGGCCCTCCTTTCTAACCAGGCTTCCAGTGGTAGGACTGACACCAATCCAATCACAAAACCTCTGAACTGCAGTCTATCCTGCCTGTAAGATGTTCTTGGGCAAAGGAAGTACAGAACTTGTGGGATGGCCAACTAATGGCTCGTCCAGCTTGAGGCCCATGTCATAATAGGGAGCCCATGCCTGACACACCCTAAATAGCCAGGAATCAGAGATGGGACATCCCAAAGACCCAGGACAGAAACAAACAAGACGAAAAAAGTCAATGAAATTAATCCTAATGATATTCTGCTATACTCATAGATGCCTAGCCCCACTGTCCTCAGAGAGGTGTCATCCAGCAACTGATGGGAACAGATGCAGAGACCCACAACCAGTACTAGATGGAGCCAGGAGATACCTGCAGAAGAGGGGAAGAGTGATTGTGGGAGAGCCAGAGTGGTCAAGGACACCAAGTTAGCATGACCCATAGATTCAACTAAGCTGGACTCATAGAGGCTTACAAAGAATGAAGCGACAAACTTGGAAATTACTTGTGTCTGAACTAGGTCATCAGTGTATATATATACATATATATACATATATATGTATATATATTATGATTATATAGCTTTGTGTTCTAGTAGGAATTCTAACAGTAGGAGTGAGGGATATCTCTGATTCTTTTATGTTGATGGAGTTTCTGTTCCACCTGGTCCCGCAGCCCTTCAGTGCCAAAGAAACACACCAAAACTATATTAATTATAAACTGTTTGGCCTATTAGCTCAGGCTTATTATTAACTATCTCTTACAACTTAAATTAACCAACAAATCTTGTCTGTGTTTACCACATGGCTTAGTACCTTTCATCAGTGAGGCATTCTTATGTTGCTTCTTCTGTGTCTGGGTGATGACTATAGATTGAGCCTTTCCTCTTCCCAGAATTCTACTACTCTGGTTGCCCTGCCAATACTTCCTACCTGGCTACTGGCCAATTAGCATTTCATTAAACAAATACAAGTGACAAATCTTACAGTGCACAAAAGCATTATGCCACAACACTTTCACCTACATTTGAGACCCTTTCCCTCCTACTTGGTTGCCTTTTCCAGCCTTGGTATGAGGGTTTGTGGCTAATCATATTGGAACTTGTTGTGTCGTGTTTGGTTGATATCTCTGGGAGGCCTGATTTTTTAGGTGGGTGGGGAAGAGAATTTGAGGAGTGGATCTGGGGGAGAGGGCAGTGGAGGGAGGGACTTATAGGAGTGGAGGGAGGGGAAACAGTGGTCAAGATGTAATGTATAAGGGAAGAATAAAAAGTGTATAGTTGCTTTTCCTGGGCTGTTTTGTTTCCTCTCTTTGTCCTAGATTCAGATGAGCTTCTTTCCAAGGAAAAAGGAGAAAATTCGTACACAAACAAGCTTGATTTGGGAGAGGAAGGCGATAACTCAAGTCCATATTCAGCTTTTTATTAAGTAGAACAACACAAAACAATATAATCCACACCCAAAAGACATGTGAATCCCTGCAATACCAACTCCAGTGATCAGAGGGAGAGACCAGAACAAAGAGAGAACAAAGGCTTAGAGATAAGAAATTCTGGGTGTTGATCAACTACAGCAGTACAGTGAGCAACAAGAAGAGAAACAGGGGGCTTATGGTGCCCAAAAGCAATGTGCACAGGGGCTCTTGCATCATACCAGCCTGGAGACAAGGGCAGGGTGAAGTTGGCAGCCAGGGATTTATGGTCAGAGACAGGAGCTAGCTGGAAGATAGGTCAAGCAGAATAAAGACATTCTTGAGAAGCAGGGGGGAGGGAAAAGGGTTAGAAACAGAAGGGTGTACACGAAGAAGTGCCTGATGTGGAGTCACACAGACTAAATTTGCCCTTGGAAATCCTGAAAATATGACATGCAGCTTAGGAGCAATGTAACTGTATTTAGTCTGACTCCTGTCTTTGTAACGAATATGAAAAGTCCAACAGACAAAAGATAATGCATGTGCTACTGCTCTGGAGGGCAAGGTATTCTGATTGTTGGGAAATTGGGCTAACATACAGCTAAAAAGGGAAAGGTATTCTGGCTGTTGGGAAATCAGACTGTACCGATAGCTGGGTTCCAGTGGGGGATTGTCTTTCTGTAGGATGTTGCAATCCTGTTCCTCTCTGAGAGAGCTGTTGTAGCTCAGCTCTGCTCCACTCTGCTAAGAGAGTTTCTCAGCAGAGATGTCCATTGCTTCTCTGTTCTCATTAAAGTTGTTACTTCTCTGCTCTGTTCCACTAAGGGAGTTTCCCAACAGAGATGACCATTTCTTCTCTGCTCTGCTCTGGCAAAAGAAGGTCTTCACCCCAAACTCATTCAAGATATTTATTGGAAGGGAGTAAGTAATCTAAGAGAGTGCTGCTTCTGCCAAGGTGGAAAAGGCTGCCCCCAACTGAACAGGCACAGGGTTTACGTAGGGCTTCTTGGGGGTAGAGATTTTCCAGGGTGAAGATTTTCAGTGTGGAAATTTCAATTTCAATCCTTGAGTTTGAACAAACTCAGTGATTGGCTGGATTTCATGCTCAGGGAATGGTTAGTTTCATGCTTAGGAATTGGTGGGTTTTCCTCTTCAGGGATTGGTGGGGTTGGTGCTCAGTTGATCAAGTATGTGTTTCTTTGGCTCTGGTTTCAAGGTTTCTTGCACTGGTCCCTTTTAAACTTTTGGCTCTAGTTTCAGGGCCAGAGAGTATTTCTTTCACTGGTTCTGGTTTCAGAGCCAGAGTGTGTTTCTTTAGCTCTCATTTCAGAGTTAGGGTGTGTTTCTTTGACTCTGGTTTCAGGGTCAAAGTGTGTTTCTTTGGTTGGCTCTGGTTTCAGAGTCAGGGTGTGCTTCTTTGGCTGGTTCTTTTTTTCATATGGCATCAGTGTAGAACATCAACACACAAACACAATCAAGGAAGACCAGATGAACTCAGACATGTAGTGGCCACCTTTACTCATATACCAAAACCACAGGGAATGTAGGACATTTACTTTGCCTTGAAGACTGGGTCTATGATCTTATCTGATTTCATCTTTGTCTCTACATATGTCTGGACTCCAAAGCAGAAGGGAACAAGTCACGGATTGGTTTGAACTTCAGAATGCTTGTTGACAACTTTTAATCTTGTTTCTGCTTTCAATTTGCAAAATTGGGGCAGTTGCAATATGGACTCTCTGGAGCTTAACAAGATGGACTTGCTTCCTGTGAGGTCTATTATTTACTATGTGGTCTTGTGCTCCTTGGGCTTCAAAGTAGTTGGGGTCCTATTCTGGTGCTGAGTCAGAGTCTCTCAGGCATCTTGCAGGGGCATCCAAATGCTATGGTGATTGTGATGCCTTGGCAAAGATCATAGACTCAATCCAATTATAATAAAATGTTTTATGAATTAGCTGATAGCAGGACAGCACTCTCTTAGAAGACTTGAGATTGTCATAAGAAGTGTGGCAAGAAAAGGATTCTTGTGGTGAAAACCATTAGAAGACCTTCATTATCTGTCAAAACTGATCTATTTAGTAAGTGGTCAAGGTGACCCCAAATAATCCTTGGCTATCTGCATAAGCATGTTACAGAAGACCCCAAAACAGTTAGTTATATAACAAACAGATGGTCATGGCTCTACATTTGTATGTGTGTGTGTGTGTGCATGTGTGCGAATGTGTTTCTCTCTCTCTCTCTCTCTCTCTCTCTGTGTGTGTGTGTGTGTGTGTGTGTGTGTGCGAGAGAGAGAGAGAGAGAGAGAGAGAGAGAGAGAGAGAGAGAGAGAGAGAGAGAGAGACTCTGAGTCTGGGATTACTGAGAATTTATAATCCAGGAGCTGGAGTTAGACAGAAATGGCTAGTGAGTTCCAAGATGGACGTCCAGCATAAAATTGGAGAATTTTAAGGCCATCACACAGCCTCCTCTTCTGTATGGTTCCCTGAGTCTCGAGAAGGATTTGATGAAGACATCCTGTTTAGGACTGATATTCTCATGTTCAATACATTATATTCAAAGCAGCAGAAATTAAGACATAAACATTCTCTTTAGCAGAAGATCTTCAGGTCTAGAAATAGTAACTGATTTTATTTTTATGTATCTTATTTATAAACTGTAATCTTGATGGTGACGCCTGAATTTCAGGTCCTTTGGAAAAAATGAAATTTGTGTAGCAGTGTTATTGTTTATGTTGGCAATTATTATATTCCAAGTCATCAAGTACTTCTTCCTTTGTGATTTTGGTCCATGAATCTGGAATAGTACCTAACTTTGTAAATTTCTTTCCATACTCCTTTTCAAGCTTTGATCTGAAGCGACAGACAAACCATTTCCAATATGGCTGAGTAGATGAGTCTGGGGTGATGCTCCATGTGGCAAAATTACCTCCTGCTGCTCGATATTTCTTGTATGGGAACCTCCGGAGGTCATGTAAAATAAATGAACTGTCACTTGCTACACAAGTAGTACAGCAGTCAATGACAAAGTGGTCTGTTTTATAATAATGCCATCCATTGACAGCCTGAGGACGGTGGAATGGCACACTGTGGTCTCCATCATGTTCGGGAATGGTGTTTGTACAAATTGCTTTACAAAAAGGACACTGCTTCCAGCAGCCACAGAGATGTGCCGAGAGAATTTTCTCAATGTCAGGAATCATTTCATCTATGGGCTTACTTGAGCAGTCCTCTTTTACTTTCTTCAGTGCAGGATCCAAAGCTACACTCATGACTTCTTTGAGAAACTCAGTGTCCTTTATCTCCTGGTGCTCGATGCTTATCAGGTCTCTTCTTGGAAAGATCAGGTTGCTCCCTAGGTGATCACAGAACAAATCCAACCAGCGAGAAGCAGTGCTGTTATCTTTAGTTACTGCTGTGGACTCATGAATGGCAGAGAGGATGACATTCTTGATGTCACCTAAAATTATTTTTATAAAAGTCTTTATTTTTTCACCTTCTTTTGCTGACAAGTATCTTCTAATATGGTCTCTAATGTAAGCCCTGAAAAAGGATTCTGGATGATGAATGTACTGCCAATACATATCAAAGTTTTCCTCTTCTGCCAGAGAAATGAGAATATGTTTCTCCAGGTTAGCCCTGTTTCCATTGAATTCAGCGCAGGCAGCTCTCATGTCTCCAGCTACTTTAAGGCTCATTTTCTCCCATATAGTGGCAGAGATAGCAGGAGTGAGCTTGAGCCACAGGAAGTCTACAAACGATGTGATGGAGGTGGCACCTTGGCAGGAGATTTTAAAACTGATGAAGAAGTCATCTTTTTTTCTCTCCAGATAGTTCACAGGATCATATACTCTATTGAATTCCTTGTTTATTTCCTTGAAATTCTTAGATGCTTTTTCAAATAAGCATACAGATAAATCAATGTTATACTCTTTGGTAAATGTGTATTCTTCTTCAGGGGGAACAGATTTCAGTTCTTTTTCTATTATCCTCAAGATTTCATGAAAATCATTCTGACTGTAATCACGCCTTTGCTTCCAAATGTTTTCAATTATTTCCTCAAATCTTAAAGAAATGTTACTAGTAGTCTTCTTAATGGATTCTTTATGACAGGTTTCTAAACACTTTGGAATTATCCCAAACTTTTTTTTCACTTGGATATGTTTGGCATAATTAATCTCAAACATTTCTCCAGAGTTCTTTTTAAGTCTTTCTACAATGTTTTTCTCCTTTTTGAAATGCCCCAGAAGGATGTTTTCAGCATCCCACTCAATGTCAGGCTCTGTGACAAGAGGTGCAGTCAAAGAAACTTTGTAGATCCAACCTGTCCAAAGTTGATTGAATTTCTCACGCAACTCTTCATCACTGAATTCTTTACCCTTCACACTCAAAGCCAACTCTCGGCTCCTCTCTAACAGTTCATTTTCATATAGAGACTTTTGGTTATCTAGTCTTTTTTGGCTTTGTTTAAGACTGATGAGCTCATTGCATTTCCTTCTGGTGTCTGAAATAAGTGCATCTTTAAGCATTAGTAACTTATGTTCAAAGCTTGATTTCCATTGTACCAATGTTTCTCTATCTGTGTCTTCTTCAAAATATTTGTCAAAATCTTCCTTGATGGTTTCATATTTTGTACTGACTGGACCCTCCAGTGTGCTGGGTGTGAGTATCAGTAGTTTCCCATTTTCTATCTGATTGGTCAACTGATTGTGTAAATCCAGCACATGACTCCTCAGCTCCCAGGTCCAGTGGTTATACATGGTTTCCAGTTTGTTCATGGATATGACTTCTTGGGTGTTCCTGAAACTGAAAATGAAGTTCTCACTGACCAGGGCTTCCCACAAATCCTGAACTCGGAATTTTACATCTGAGATCTTCATGATCTTTCCTCTGGATTCCTGGTGGGCAATCCTAAGAATCCCAGTTTTCAACTCCTGGACGTTGTAGCTATAGTGAGGATTGGGAGGGGCCATTGGGGGATTACCATCCCAGAGGTGAGCAAAGTAGTAGACATGACTATTAACATCAAATTTAATTACATCGCTGAAGCGGGTTATGTCTGAGCACTCTTCCTGTTCAGCAGCTAATGCTGTCATCTCATCCAGTCTCTGCTCCAGTCTCCTTCGTCCTTCCATAGTTTGGTCTTTAGCTGTAATGTCTCCCACATTCTGATGGACAAAGAAGCAACTGGGGGAGATTTTCACTTGTTTCATTCTCAGAAAGGCCTGGGCCACTATTTGTAGGATATCCTGCATCTCTGATGGATTCTCCCCAAAAATATTAATCAAAGTCAAGTTTCCAAGGCCAATGACAAATGTTGCCAACTTATTGTCCCGATGGTGGGATTTGCTATTGAGTTCTGGAGCCCGAAGTCCTTCTGTGTCTACAACAAGAACAAAATCAAAGCCAAGTTCCTCTGTGAATGTCTCTTCCACCTTCAGGAGCTGCATATATGCCCCCTTGGTGCACCTGCCTGCACTGGCTGTGAACTGCAGCCCAAACAGAGCATTCAGTAGGGTGGATTTCCCTGAGCTCTGCAGACCGAGGATAGAGAGAACAAACAGTCTTTTGTCTCCAACTTTCTCTGAGATCTTGTCCAAAACAGCCATCACCCACTTTAGAGGCACATATGATGCATCCCCATCCATCAGCTCAATGGGAACCCCAGCTACCATCAAATCTGCAGCAATCTTGGGGAGGCAGAGAAAATGTCTGTCTCTAGATGGGGAAGTTTCTTCCAGAGCTTCATAGATCTGGCCAATTTCTCGGAGAAGGTGCTCAATTCCTAAAGTGCAGTTAAGAATCTCGGTAGAGATGGCTTCTATCTGCTTCTGCCAGAGTGTCAGGGAGGTGCTCTTCTGTGCTTTCTGCTTTTCTGCCTGTACTTGTGACCACAAAGATTGTTGCTTTCCATGCAAATTCTCCAAGTGTCCTGAAGTTAGCTTTTCCAAAACCATATTTATCCAGTGTAAGAAATATAATTTGGGGTAAATTTCTAAATCTTCTAGGAGAATTTGTAGGATAGAGCACATTAAGGGATTGAGAGGAAAGGCCTTATTAAGTTGCTGACATCGTATATTTTGTTTTTCTACCTCAATTTCACTCTTGTGTTGCTCAATGCTCCGATTCCCTTTTTCTCTCAGATGATAGAGTTCCTTGTCCTTCTTACACCAAAGGTGCCAAAGTTGTCCCTGCAACTGCAGCAAGTTTTCTTTTATCTCAGGTAACTTTGATAGTTTCAGGAGGTCCATTATAGTCTGTGCTTTTTCTTTGGCTTCCTTAATTTCTCTTTGATCTTCATCAATCAGAAATCCTTGTTTTCTAGCTATCTTTGAACAGTCCTCTAAGCTGAGTGGATGGTCAGAGAGTTCTAGTAAAAATTTGATAGCATTTGTGAGCTTCTCTGTTAATTCTGCCTCATTTCTATTCCTGATGCCAATTCTCATTCTTTTACCAGAATAATTGGCTATGGCTTCTTCTTTGTCATCAGTCAAACAGATCAGGGATTTTGATGACTGACAGAGGTATCTAACAAGTTTTTGGTTTTCTTCATTATCATCAGAAGCTGACATGAGGATCACAATGAGAGAAGAGACATCCTGCAGGAAGCTGAGTTGTTGTCTATGGTCCTTGGCATCTCCTCTAAGATTGGTGAAGGTCACACACTTGTCAAATCTGTCCTCACTTTGACCTCCAGGACAGAACCAGGAGATCTCCACCACTCCCTCCATCAGGAGACAATCTTTGCTGCTTCCTCTGCAGTGCCTGTGAAAAAACACATCATGTTTACGTTTACTGAGAAGAGAGTTCATGATCTGAGATTTGGAAGCAGAGAAGCCATTTCCAACTCTAATGAAGGACACAATGGGGGCAGAGACACAGCACATCTGCTGATTGCTGTGACTGTAGCTCTTGTCCTGTGGTGATTTACTTGACTCTTGCCAACTTCTCCTGATTTGTCTGAGAGACCAGAGAGAGAATTCAATCTGAGAACTGTTGGGATTTGGCACCACAAGGGGGAGTGCAAATTGACAAATGGAAAGTTTGGACAAAATGTATTGCCTGGCAAGATCATCTGCACAGTGAAAAATGGCCATCTGGATGTCCATTGGGTGAATGTGGGGCCAGAACTCAGTGGTTGAAGAATTAGTAAGCTTATATCTGTCATCAAAGAACTCTTCATATGGATCAAAAGACTCATTTTCTGAGTTGTCAGGACCTACAGAGTCTTGGGTGTCTGCATTTCCATTATTTTTGAAGACCAGATGTCTGAACCCACAATCTAGCATCAGTAGCTTTTGTAGGAAATAGAAGGGAAGTTCCTGTTCAGATCTTGGCTGTGTATTGTACACAGAATTCTTATAGATCAGATGGAAGTCAGCTCTGCTCATCCTTTTTGGGTAGTGATGTTCTAGACCTAGACGCTGGAGTAAATCTAGCAATGGTCCCTTTTCTATGTTTTCCTTTTTGTTGTTTTCATTATCTTGTTGATTATAAGTCTCTTTATTTTCAAGGTCGAGACTTTGCAGCTGTTTTTTCATATCTTCCAATTTCAAAGCCGAGATGGTGTCTTCATAATTCCCATCAATGAATAATCTCAAATTATTCTCTAGATTTTCCCAATCATGATCTGTTTCAAACTTTGTGAGGACTTGTCCAAATTTTGTAGACAATTGTAAATGCTCCGTATGCTGTCTTATTAATCCCAAGCGTTGTGTTTTTTCTTCTGGAGAAATCTCTGAGACATTTACTGTGGTGGTCATAGCTTTGAGCACTAGGAATGCCTGTGCCCTGTCTGTGCAGATAGTTTTTAGCTCCTGATATCTGTGTTGGACAGTTTGAATTTCATCCAGTAGGAAGTTTATCTCAGCACACCCCAGGAGAGGCTGGAAAACATTGCTTTCCAACTGATAGCCTGCACCAGCTGCAATGGAGAGTAGTAGCAGCTGCATGTCTGGCTGCGCTGATTCTCTGAGATTGTTCAAGAAGGAGCTAAGAGCTGTGGTGACCTCACAGGTAGCCTTTCTTTGAGCCTCTTCCACTGTTTCTAGGGACTCAGACTTGTCATTTGCTTCCACGAGAGCTTTTTGGATTCCTTTCAGAGTTTTAAGGAATTCAGACAATTCAGTGATTTTGACTTGCTTTTCCTCTGCCTCTGTCTTGTCAATCCACTGAATCATTGACTTCACCTGAGGAAAGTTTTTCACTTTGTGTACATGAGGTTCTAGAAGACTGCGTAACTGAGGTTGAGTAAACAGAATTTTTTGAATGGATGGGTTTTTGCAAAAGTTGACAGTGTTTATGAGAAAAATCTGCAGATCTAAATCTTCGAGACACCTATTAATCCATATGTCATAACCTTTTGTTTTGTGGGCCAGTGTTTGCATAAAACTCATCAGCTTCTTAAGTTTTTCTTCAGAGTTAGAGACCTCCCAGGATTTCACATCATCCAGGGTATGCCCTGCTTCCTTTTCAGGGATCAACATATGTTCTCCAGCCCGGATGCGGGCATCAAGGCCAGTCAGAGCAGAGTAGTTTTCTGCCAGGCAGTTAGCCACCAGAAAGGGGTCCTTAAAATTGCTTCTGTGATTTGATAGGATGATGTCCCAAATGGGTACCAGCTGATGTTCTCGGTCAATGACAGACCAGTTTTTGTTGCTGGCGAGAAGGCCAGTTGTCCATTGAAGAATTCCATTTGCCTCTGGTGGTCCACCTATCTGGGCCACAGATAATTGGACTTTGATTTGGAGCTGTTGATTAGTTGCATTTTGGCAGGATCTTACTGAATGTGAGTCTGATTTTGTTATTCCTGCTATAAATTTGACTCTAAAGCCATTGTAGCCTGCCCTTATGTAACTATCCAAGGCCTCTTCTGTCTGATGCTTCACACAATCCAGCTGGTCACTTCTGAAACCCTCTGAAAAGGCCTTCCACCAATAGATTCCCCCAAGATGCAGAGGGCCTTGATTAGCATGAGAACCAAATCTGTTGAAGAAGTTTTCAGTCCTGTTCCTTAGTAAGAGGAATCTGTCTGGTCCATCAGTGTGTTCCAGTTGTTCCTCAATAATCTTCAGTTCCTTGAGAGCAGCAGGGGAGAGCTGCAGCTCATCAATTCGAAAGTGGAAGGAGACCAGCGGCACAAAGCTGAACTTGGCTGAGCAGAAATAAGACTGCTCTGAATATGACTGGTGTGTGTCTTTAGATTCTGAATGTTTGCTTTGATCTCTACCACATTCTTGACTAAATCCCCAGGATCCACCTGTGGCTGATGTCATTGCTCCAAATCCCAGCTTCTCCACATTTTTAGTAAACAGGGCTTCTTCTTGATAAGATGTGAATTCTTTTGCTTCCATTCTTTTTGCTTTCTCAGATCCAAAGAGGACAAATTCCTTGGGGACCCTGAGTAGTTCTTCTCTCCTTGCTACCAGGTTCTTTTGATGGCACGTCTTGTATATTCCCTGCAGGGCCAGCCCTCCAGAAGCCCATCTAACTAGTTCTCTATCTGGCAGATTTCCCCTGTAGGTCAGTTTCTGCTCCATGTCTCTTGGTTGTCTCTCCATTGTTTCAGTGATATCTTTGAGGGGTACTTCAGGTCCTGGCCAGCACTTTTCAGGGATCTCCATTGCTTGTCTCAGCTCTGCTTCTTTCCTCTCTTCTTCTTCTTCTTCTTCTTCTTCTTCTTCTTCTTCTTCTTCTTCTTCTTCTTCTTCTTCTTCTTCTTCTTCTTCTTCTTCTTCTTCTTCTTCTTCTTCTTCTTCTTCTTCTTCTTCTTCTTCTTCTTCTTCTTCTTCTTCTTCTTCTTCTTCTTCTTCTTCTTCTTCTCTTTGCCTCCCTTCTAACTGCAAGGCCCTCAGTTCCTGCAGTGCCTGTTCTGCCTGATGCTGTCTGTTCTCTATCATCTCCCTTGAAGTCTCCTGGAACTCTGCAACACTGTTTGGCTGTGAGAGATCAAGCAGCTTCTCCAGAGCCTTTTCTTCCCATGTGTGCTGTGTCTGGGACTTCAGCTTCTGGAGGTCTTTTTCTTCTAAGTGTTGTAAGTTTTGGGCACAGGCCACACCCATGTCTTCCTTAAGTTTAGGAAGCCAGTAGTCAACAGACAACCCCACTTCTGTCAGCATCTCCTGGAGATCTTGCCTTCTAGGCTGAGGCTCAGCAGGGATGCACTTTGCTGTTGCCATGGCTCTATGAAGAAAAGATACTTAATTAGTCTCTGTCCAAATGTAAGAAGTCTTCTCCACATGATCCAATGTGTGAATTTTCTAAGGAGGCATATCTCCAAGGTTTTCATGCCTTCATATAATTGCATAATATATATTTCTTTAGCATCTTTGTCATATTTTTTGTTTATTGAACATAATTTGTATTTATAGTTGTTGTTTTGAATTTCAGTGTAATAGGCTGACATTTTGGCATTTTATCCTAAATATTCAACATCAAAACAAGTTTTAAACATAGATGACAATTCACTTTTTATTTTATAAGAGTGGCTACATATGCCAGTTAGCTTTTCTGTATTTGTTTCTATGAAATCTGTGTTAACTGCTTTCATTCATATGTCCCTAAAATACATCTCAAGTTATGAAATATCCATTTAGTTTTCTATCTTTATAAATTCATTAATTAATTGACAAAAATAATCATAGAGAGCCAGGGAGAGTCTGGAAAATGAAAGAGTGATACACAGGAAGTTTTAGTGAGAAACTTGGAGTGTGCAGTACTTTTTGGTTTGTACTGACAGAAGAGACCTCTCTTTCTGAGATGCCAACAGAGGTCAGGTCAGCTAGTCACTCCTCAACCTTTCTGAGCTAGCATGTTTTCACTCCAGCCTCTGACTCCTGAGTCTGTATTGGTAAATAAAGATAGAGATTTAGTTAAAAACTACATTTGGTGGCAGCGACAGGAGCTGGATCCAGTGAGACATCAAAATCCCTCCAGGCCACTGCCAGAAAAGCAGGCCAGTAACTGCAGAGCCTCAGTTACTGGCTGAAATTGCAGTAGGTTCAGGTGCAGCCACAGAGCTGTCAGTAAATCAACATTTTAGCACTCCAATGTGTGGCATGACTATGCAAAAGGAAGTTTATGTCAGCTGGTGCCTCCACTGCCACTCTTGGGGACTCAGGAAAGCACGCTTGCTCAGAAATCTGTAGTGGCATTTTATTTGTATTTTAATGAAAAAGGGTTGCCTGAAGATCAGAGAGTAAAACAGCCCCAAAGGTCAGTCTTACAGATCAGGCAGTGGTAACACAAACCTTTAATCTCAGTAGTCACACTAGTTGCTGTACAAACCAGGCAGAGCATGCTTTAATCCCAGTGCTACAGAGGAATATAAAATGGGAGGAGACAGCTCTCAGGCTCAGTCTCATTCTGAGATTCCTGGAGGCCTAGTTGCCATTACGGAATGAGGTCGAGGTAAGAGCCCATGGCTGGCTGCTTTGCCTTACTGGTCTTCAGGTTGAACCCCAATATTAGTCACTGAGCTCTTATTAATCGTGCATCAGAAATCATAGAAGCAACCTGAGTTTGCTGATGGTCAGCTGAGGACAAACTAAAAAATCAGCAGATTTGGTGAGATACCTGGGAAGTTCTTTAGAATCGAGTTAAATAATATTAAAAGTAAAAATCTTTCCTGTGTTAAGGATGGGAAATATCAGAATACAGGAGTTAAGACCCTGTATAGTGCAACTATGGATGGCTTGAAAATGGAATCAGCAAGTGAGGGGACAAATGACTTAGCTGGGATTGACATAATGCCAATTATAATTATTATCAGTCTGGTAACTCACATTTCATTCTTAATATCCATAGTAGTTTCTTGTGCCAAATAAAGAGTGGTCTGATAATTGTGCCAAATATGAAAAACTGACTGATAAGATACAAGCTTTAGAAAGACTTGTCAATGAAAATAAGAAAAATTTGACTGATTAGACATAAGCCTTAAAAAGACCTAGTAATGAATATAAGGAAATTACTCAGACACAGACAGAGGTATTTAGACAAGAACCTACCAAGCCACTGCATGATCAAACTGAAATAGTTCTAATAACCCAAGTTTATTAGAAAACCAACCTTAATTTCTATACAAGTTACTGTACAAGATATGACCAGCAGATGATAGGTACCCCTAAGGTTATGCAAAAGTTAAGCAGAATCCTCTAGAAATATTAGATTTGATAATATTTAAGGAGGTGGTAATTTCATATGTATTTACCCTATGTGAAGGACACATTAAATTCATGGGCAACTCAGAACAGAATTATCCCTCAAGACTGGAAAGACTTAGACACAGAAAGCTGGAAGCTGGAAGCTGGCCCTCAGTTAAAAGTGGTGAATACAGTAGAAAGAGGAAGCTAGGGCCACAGAACAACAAAATAGGGCTAGAACTATTAACATTTCCCAACACTGGTTACAAGGTGAGGACTCATATGATGAATTGTAAAGGCAGATTGATTTTAATGATCACACCTTGGTGCTTTGTCATTTAGCAGTTTTAAATGCTTGGAACAAAGTTGAAGAATCAGGGAACAGTTCTAAGTAATTTACCAAAATTATACAAACTCAAAAAAGCCTTTATTGATTTTTTTTGCAGTGATTGACTTCAGTTGTAAGTAGAAAAATATCAGATTTAGTGATCAGACAAATATTAGCTGAATATTTGGCTTTTGAAAATGCTAATTCAGAATGTAAAAGGGTGATTAAATCTTTAAAGGCAATATCACCACCAATAGATTAATGGATTAGAACTATGAATAATACTAGATATTGGGTTTATAATGATACTTTGATAAGAGAAGAAATTTCTAAAAATTTTATGAAAAATCAAAATATCACATGTTTTAATTTTGGTAAGTAACTTCATTTGAAAAAGGATTGTAGGCAAGACATTCCCAGAAACAATGTTCTTTTCTTGAGATAATCCAAACAGAATGTCCCAGTCCTCTGGAGTATGAAGAAAGTGTGGCGCCTTTTGTCCCCAGCTCATTGGGCTACCAGCTGTCCCTGTTTAGGTGCTGAGGAGCTCCATCTGGACGGCTGTCCCTGTTTAGATGCTGAGGAGTTTCATCTGGACAGGAACGGTTCCTGCTTCTACACTGAGGAGATACACCCAGAGAGTTAGTCACAGCAAAGTCTGGACCAAGATGCCAGGCCTCTCCTGGCTCCATTTGAAGGAAGAGATGGGAAGGCACCAATGCAAGAATTCCTCCAACAACCTGAAAGGCAACATGACATCACCAGAATCCAGGGATCTCGAAATAAGAAGAATTGTACACCCCACTCCAGAAGAATTAGAAGAAATTGACTCAAAAGTGAATTATATGAAAATAATAGAAGACCTTAAACAGGAGGTGAAAAACTGCCATAAACAATTAGAGATTAAAAACAAAAAGGTAGAGGAGATGAATAAATTGCTCAAAGATACCCAAGAAAACCAAGAGAAACAAGAAAAAGCAATCAAACAGGTAAGGGAAGCGGTTCAAGACTTGAAGAATGAAATGGAAGTAATGAAGAAAACACAAACCAAAGAAAGGATGGAGATGGAAAATCTGGGTAAATGAACAGGAACTACAGAGACAAGTACTACCAACAGATTACAAGAGATGAAAGAAAGAATGTCAGACACTGAAGATACCATAGAGAAAATAAACACAGTGATCAAAGAAAACAGCAAATCCAACAAATTCTCATCACAAAACATTCAGGAAATATGGGACACAANACGGTCCAGAAAATATATTTAATAAAATTATAGAAGAAAACTTTCCCAACCTAAAGAAAGATATTCCTGTGAAGGTTCAATAAGCATACAGAACACCAAATAGGCTGGACCAAAAAACGAATGCATCTCCTGGCCATATAATAATCAAAACACAAAACATACAGAATAAAGAAAGAATATTAAGAGCTGCAAAGGAAAAAGGACAAGTTACTTATAAAGGTAAACCTGTCAGACTTACACCTGACTTCTCTATGGAAACCATGAAAGCCAGAAGGTCCTGGATAGATGTTCTGCAGAAACTAAGAGACCATGGATGCAAGCCCAGACTACTATACCCAGCCAAGCTTTCGTTCACTAAAAATGGAGAAAACAAAATTTTCCAGGATAAAAACAAATTTAAACAATAGGTAGCCACAAATGCAGCCTTACAGAAAGTAAAAGAAGGAAAAACTCAATACAAGGAGTCCAACAATGATCACAATAACTCAGACATCTAATGATCCTTCACCAGCACAACTCGAAGAAGGGAAACACATAAACTCTACTACCAAAAAAGAAAAAGAAAAAATGACCGGAGTTAACAACCACTGGTCATTAAGATCACTTAATATCAATGGACTCAACTCACCTATAAAGAGGCACAGACTAAGAGATTGGATACGAAAACAGGATCCAACATTCTGCTGTTTACAAGAAACACACCTCAACCACAAAGACATCTACTCAGAGTAAAGGGCTGGGAAAAGGTTTATCAAGCAAATGGACCTAAGAAACAAGAAGGTGTGGCCATACTAATTTCTAACAAAGTTGACTTCAAACTTAAATCAATCAGAAAAGATGGAGAGGGACATTTTATACTCATAACAGGAACAATTCATCAGGATGAAGTCTCAATCTTGAATATTTATGCCCCTAATATAAAAGCACCCACGTACGTAAAAGAAACATTACTAAAACTCAAGGCTGCCGTCAAACCGCACACACTAATAGTAGCAGACTTCAACACCCCTCTCTCACCAATGGACAGGTCAATCAGACAGAAACCTAACAGAGAAATAAGAGAATTAATGGAGGTAATGAATCAAATGGACTTAACAGACATCTATAGAACATTTCACCCAAATAGGAAAGAATATACCTTCTTCTCTGCAGCGCATGGAACCTTCTCGAAAATTGACCACATACTCGGTAACAAAGCAAAC